TTTACACATGATCTTACTGGTAAATCAACGTGACTCGACCTATTTTCTCTTATTACCTTATTTGGTTATTATTCTCGTACGAATCTGATTCTCTCTATATATTGGAAAAATATATTTTCATGTGACGAATCAAAATATATGCGTTTTTTTTAATATTTTTGAAAAGTATAAGGTGCCGTTTACCAAACGTTTACCCGGGTAAGCACTTGTCAAGTCACTTTATTTTACCGGATGAACATGGCAAGGACTAAGAATCTTATCCGATAAGAGCAAAGACAATAATCGAGAGTCTTATCCAGTAAGTGAGGGCGACCACTCTTGCCATGGTTAGTGCTTACCGGGATTAAATTGTTGTATACGATGCATTTTAGTAAATAAAATCTTACCCGGTAAGTAAGCGATAATGTGAAATTTTACTGATAAGTGCTTACCGGGTAAGTGTTTAGGTAAACGGCCCCTAAATCTCTAAAATAATAATCAAATGCGAATACATTTTTAAATATCAAATGGAATTCTTAGACATTTTATCTTCTATTTTTAATTTGTGTGATTGATTTTTGTAATTATTGCATCACTTTCTCTAGCAATCATCCTCATTGAAAATATAATACAATTTATTATTTATGATATGATATAATAATTTAAAAAATTATTATTTTTAAATATTGTGATAACAAGTGATGTTTAATGATTAGATTTTTTTATCATATAGTGTAAAATAAAATATAATTGTTTGGTAATTGTTCATAATGAAATTAGGGCGTTGCATGGTTAAGGGAGACACAAGATACAAAACCATTCAGAAAGTTCTTTTTACCAAACAAGATTCTCTCTCTTAGCGATTCAGATGTTGTTTCATAATGAAACTATTAAGAAATAAACAAAGAGCCTATGAGAGTTTTTTCAATAACTTTTCTAAATTAAAGAATCAAAATATAAATTTTTTTAAATAAATTATATTCAACTATTAACAGATTCTCTATTTTAAAGATTTTAATAATCACAATGCATTTTTTTTTAAACTTTTTATAACAAAATAACACTTCAATCTTATTTAGAGATTTTTCAATGGTTTTATATTTTAGAGAACAAGATAGAAAAACTGTTGGTACATTTTAGAGAACAAAAACCCATTATTTTCTATTTTAGAAAAGTTGTTAGAGATGCTCTAAGATCCTCGATTTACTCTGAACATTTGTGGATAGAATGAATGTCTCATCAGATTTAGAGAAGAAGAGTTCAAGTCTAGCAGATGTGAAACTCTAACACGTTCTCTACAATGGAGGCTGGACACCTGCACAAACACAGATTGTCCTAAACTATCGAGAAAGGGCTAGAGAGAGAGGGCTAGACAAGTACATATTGCATATTGCCCTGGAATTTCAAGTCCATAAACTGATAAACCTTCACTCTGTTACCATGTGAAAATATGTGAAACCTCATATTTACTCTCTAAAAACATTTCAAATAACTATAACTATATATACATATATATACACACACACACACACACACATATATATATATATATATATATATTAATTTGTGAAAAATTTGCTCTGACAAGTGTACTAAATCTTATAATATCTCTATTTTAAAATAACTGTTGAAGACACTGTAAAAAAGCACTTAAGAAAATAAAGGATGTTTTATCATATAAAAAAGAAATAATCAAAGTGTAACCGATGTAAAACTCTAATTAGGGTTGTAAACGAACTAAACGTTCAACGAACCGTTCGGCGGGAAATTCGTTTATTTAATAAATGAACGGACATGAACAAACTTTTTTGTTCGTTTAGTTAAACGAACGAACATGAACAAGAGTCTTGATCGTTCATTTATGTTCGTGAAGGTTCGTTCATTTACCGTTTGTTTACGTTCGTTTATATTCATTTGTTTATATTCGTTTATATATTAAATTTAATATATAATCTTTTGTTTATAATATTTATTTATGTTCGTTTACGTTCGTTTATATGTTAACAAACGAACATAAACGAACGCGAACACACTTGATTTCTAAACGAACGAACACGAACACAAAGATTTTCGTTCGTTTGTTTGGTTAAGTTAAACGAACGAATATGAACAAGCCTCCGTCCGTTTTCATTCGGTTCGTTTACAGCCCCAACTCTAATAATAAATAAACCCGGATTATTTAAAATTAAAATAAATTATAAATCCTATTTTCTTAATGATATAAAATAAGACAATTAAGATGATCGTGATATCTGAATCTTTTAAATTTAATTCCTAGCCAATAATATTGTTATAAAAAAATATATTTAAATTCCAAAAAATAATTTATATTATTTTTCTTGTAATTATATTTTGGGGTAAAAAAATGCAAAACAAATACACCCAATATTTCACATATTTACAAAAAGTGCCACTCGCTTTAATAAACAGTTATTTTTCACCTTAATCACCTCCATTTTTCTTCTATATAAACACCACCTTCTCTCTTCTACCCTCCCCACAACCACCATTTCTCTCTCTAAAACCACCCATTTTGTCTCTCTCTTCACCGTCCGCCACCATGCCGGAAGCACCCAGGAACCACCACACCACGACGGAGTACAGTCTTACAGAGAAAAACAAAAAATCTCTCCAGTTCATCGAAGACGTCACCTCGAATCCCGACGCCATCCAACAACGAATCCTCTCCGAAATCCTCACCCAAAATGCCGACGTCGAATACCTCCACCGCCATGGACTTTCCGGCGACACCACCGATCGCGAAACCTTCAAGAAACTCATTCCGGTCGTCACTTATGAAGATCTCCACACCGATATAACTCGAATCGCCAATGGCGATAAATCCCCCATCCTTTCTTCCCACCCCATTTCTGAATTCTTAACAAGGTATCAACACCATTTTTCCGCCATTAATTCTCGTGATTTCCTGCTTTCAAGTTTGAATTTTGATGGGGTTTTTTGGGGTAAATTAAAAATATGCTTACGGGTGTTTGGGATTGCTCATTAAAACAACTCATGTTTTTCTAAAAAAGTCTTTTGTCAACTTATTATAACTCAAAAAGGTTTAACTTCTTCAAAACTTTGCAGTTCGGGGACATCTGGAGGAGAGAGAAAGCTGATGCCCACCATTGAAGACGAGCTTAAAAGAAGATCACTTTTATACAGTCTTTTAATGCCGGTTATGAATCAATTCGTTTCGGGTTTAGATAAAGGAAAAGGGATGTATTTCTTGTTCATCAAATCCGAATCCAAAACTCCCGGCGGGTTACCCGCCCGACCCGTTTTAACCAGCTACTACAAAAGCTCTCATTTCAAAGAAAGACCCGATGACCCGTATACCAATTACACCAGCCCGAATCCGACAATCCTCTGCCCCGATTCATATCAAAGCATGTATTCCCAAATGCTCTGCGGGTTATGTCTCAACAAAGAAGTCCTCCGGGTCGGAGCCGTTTTTGCATCCGGGTTTATCCGAGCTATTCGGTTCTTGGAGAAGCACTGGGTTCATTTGACCCATGATATCCGAACCGGATCCTTGAATTCCATCATTTCTGATCCTTCTGTAAGAGAAGCTGTCATGAAGATATTGAAACCCGACCCGAATCTAGCGGATTTTATCGAGTTCGAATGCTCGAAGAATTCATGGCGAGCTATAATCACGCGGCTATGGCCGAACACGAAGTATGTCGACGTCATCGTAACGGGATCGATGGCGCAGTATATTCCGACGTTGGATTATTACAGTAACGGATTGCCATTGGTTTGTACGATGTATGCTTCATCCGAGTGTTATTTTGGGGTTAATTTGAACCCACTTTGTAACCCTAGTGACGTGGCGTATACCCTCATCCCTACCATGGCGTACTTCGAGTTCCTTCCTGTTCAGAGAAACAACGTTAATGGCGGAAGTGAGAAGAAAGAGAAGAAGAAGCAGAAACTGGTGGAGCTTGCAGATGTTAAGATTGGTGAAGAGTATGAGCTTGTTGTCACTACATATGCGGGTTTGTCTCTATCCAAATTCTCTTTCGAAATCTATCTGGTTTCAGACTTTCAGTACAACAAAATCGGTTTTACAGTACACTGTGTCAAAACATCAGTGTTTTTTGTCATGTATACACATGTCAGTACTTTTCGTCCTTTTTTACTTACCGTAACACGTTTATATATGTGCATAATCATTGCTGCTATAAATTTTAACGTCTGTAAAGCAGTCTATTAGGATATTTAGACATATTTGACATCTGATCGTGATTTGATTGAATTACAGGTCTTTATAGGTATAGAGTTGGTGATATTCTTAGAGTTGTTGGATTCAAGAACAAGGCACCCCAATTCAGTTTTATATGTAGAAAGAATGTGGCATTGAGTATCGACTCGGACAAGACCGATGAAGTCGAACTACACAAGGCGGTCGAGACTGCGGTTAACCATTTGGTCCCTTTTGGTGTAACCCTAACTGAGTACACGAGCTATGCGGACACAACCACGGTCCCAGGTCACTACGTGATCTTTTGGGAGGTTAGTGTAAACGGGTCAATCTCGGTTCCAGCGTCGGCTTTCGAGGATTGTTGTCTTACAATCGAGGAGTCGTTGAACAGTGTTTACCGCCAAGGGCGGACTTCAGATAAGTCGATAGGGGCTTTAGAGATCAAGATTGTCGAAAATGGGACGTTTGATAAGTTGATGGATTATGCAATCAGCTTAGGGGCTTCAATCAATCAGTACAAGACTCCAAGATGCGTAAAATACGAGCCGATCGTGAAATTGTTGAATTCGAGGGTAGTGTCGAGTTACTTTAGCCCAAAGTGCCCGAAATGGTTTCCGGGGCACAAGATGTGGAATAATGTTAATTAATTGTGGATTTAGGTAGGAAATTAAAGATGTTTGTTTAGATCGATCATTTAACATCTCTGAACCCATCATGTTATCGTATTTGGTCCCTTTTTTTTCAATGGTATTTCGATGTAGGATATGTACAAAAACAATTGGGAATCGAAGGAAAGCTCATGATTTCGTATTCATTTTCATGTGTTGTGTATCGCTATAAAAACAGTTGTACTTGCACATATATTACGAGGTTTCAGAGGTTGGTATTGATATTCGCGTAAACGGAAGCACGTTAGATATGTGATAGAAAACATATGTTTTTAGAAATAAAGACTTGGGATCATGTGAGACCAAAGGTTTTACGCGAGACTCGTAAGACCAATTCCCAACCCTTGGATTAGATCTACAATCTCAGCATTCATAATCACAAAAATTGCCACGAGACTTCTCAACAATCACGAAATTATCACCGTGCAACTTTAGACCATTAGATCATTAGCTTATAAAGTTGATCAATGAACATAAATTGGTCTCACGCGTCTCACGAAAAACCATTGGTCTCACGTGAACCCAACCCTATATATATATATATATATATATAGAGAGAGAGAGAGAGAGAGAGAGAGAGAGAAAGCCGTCAACTTATTAGAAACATGACAAATGTCAAATCACATGTGATCTACAACACGTCTAAAGGGTTGCAGATGACTAGTCAACATAACACTTCTGGTGGTATTGTACATCACTGTAGAATCATATGTGATTTGATTATTCTCACATTTATTTTAAGTTGGTTGTTTTCATGTTTTAACCTGCATCTCTCTCTCTCTCTCTCTCTCTCTCTCTATATATATATATATATATATATATATGGGGAAATAAGACAATGGATTTTGTACCTGGTGATGTGCCAAAGTGACGTAATTCCACTCGCAGTACAACAATTCTTACTTCTTTTATTGCATCAAAGTGGCTCTTTTGTTTTTCTTTGTCATGTTTGATTCGGATAAAAAGTTACGACCATTATCATGTTTCTCTTTTCCATATAGGAATCGATCAGCTATTCAATTCGTTCCATCTCAGATGAATTCCATTATTTCTTGTTCATAATCTTTTTTGTTATTGTCTGGCTACCAAATAAAGCTTGAATTTTTCTCCAGATTTCATCAATAAGACTCATCAAAATATTGAATCGAGTCTACTGAATCCTCTAGCTTAGCCAACTCAGTACTTGTTCAAAGTTAACGTTTTCGATTATGTACCAATCATGGTTAACTTTATTAGTAGTTGCGGAAAGGTCCGTTCAGCCATGATGAGTGTCGCATCAGTATGGGATAATTTAGAGGTCGTTTACCAAACATTTATCCATTAAATGCTTACATGCAAAATTTAACACTATTTTTTTGTTTACCAGGTAAGATTTTAGTCTATCAAAACGATATCGTGTGCAACAAATTTTCCGGTAAACGCTTACCATGGTAAGGGTTGTTGCCCTCACTTACCGGGTAAGACACATCATCTTTGTCTCGTTCTTACCGGATAAGATTTTTGATCCTTACCATATTCATCCGATAAGGTAATATGACTTAGTAAACGCTTACCCAAATGAGCGTTCGGTAAACGACCCATTAATAATTTATGATAAAAAGGCAATTGACATATGAAAGTCAAAGTGAAGAAAGGATGAGTAGATGTTAAATCAAAGAAGCCTACTTACAATCACAAAAGGCAAAGTAAACTCAAAGAAGTGCAATTCAAGCCTCTAAGTCAACTCTTGCTTTCACCTCACAAAGTGTGGAATTACTTTAAGCAAGTATAGGGTTATCCTATCATATTATATTATAATAATTAAATATAAATATATCATACACAGAAATAATAAAATGTAGAGGGAGATTTCGGTATATCTGTCAGTCAATTTTTATAAGTAAATTTTATCTGATTAAGAAAGATACACACGTTAAAATTTAAAGGGTGATCGGAAAATCAGAAAATATAAGAACATCAGCCAAAAAAACCGAAAAAATGTCATTCAAATTCAACTAAAAAAAACCTGTCTGTAAAAATAAATGAAAGCTTCATTTAACAAAGACAAAAAGATTTAAAATTCAAAAAGAATGATATGCTACTTTTTGAGGTAGACTAAGAAGTTGTTTACTCGGTAAGTGCTTACCAGTAGAAGTCAACACTATAATCTATTTTACCATGTAAGATTGTAGTATATTAAAAACGGTATGGGTATGTAACAATCTACCCGATAAACGTTTACTCGGGTAAGAGTCATCACCATCACTTATTGGATAAGAGACTATCTATCCTTATCATCGTTCTTACCAAAATTTTATCATTTAATGGGTCTGCAATAATTACAAATTCGGGTATAAGGGAATCTAGTGATTTAGATAGACTCTGAAGATAAATGGTTAGGAAATCAATTTGGTTGTAAAATAGAGTGATTTGTGTCAATTTTTGCTTTAAAAAATGAAAGCACTAAAATTAATGTCAAATGTCAAATGTCATTTCTCTACTTTTTGGGTAAAGTGGTTCATGGGAAATGGCAATGGCAATGGCATGCTACTCCTCCTCCTACCCCTACGTACAATTCAAGTGTACCATTCAATCATTTGTGAATAGAAATTTATAAACACCCCCACCACTCAACATCTAATCCAACTTTCACTTGTAACATATGCATATCATATTTGTACATTATCATCTATATATATATATATATATATATATATGAATATCATATTATCCAAGGAAATAGTGCCCCCATCATCAAAATAGTTAATCATATGGTATGAAGAAAAAAATCCACAATAAATCAAAAGGTTTTGTGTTTGATCAGGGACGGGGATTCACCGTTAAAACGGGTATTGGGATTGGGATTGTTACTTAAACTGGGATTGGGATTGGGATTGTTACAATTGTAAATTTTATAATGTATTAAAAATATATATCATTAAAAAAATAAAAAATAAAAATCTTATTTTTTAATGCAAGGACCGGTTGGGACCGGGACCGGCGGCCCATAACCAGTTATGAATTACCTTGACCGGTTCTATCATTTTCGACCGAGACTGGGACCGGTTATGAGAAAGGTTAGAACCGATCGGGACCGGCCCAGCCCGGTCCGGGACCGGTTTTTGGCCATCTCTATGAGGGATTACAAAACCCCCATCCTCGTCCCTTTGTCATGCCTAAATGTTACTTAACAAACTGAGATAAGGTTTTTACACTTTTCAGTAAACACTTACCTACTAATTAAAAACAAATATAAAATTTTGGACAAATTTACCTCCTTTTTTTTAAACATATTACTAATTAATAATATTAAATAAATTTTTTAGTGAAACAACTTTACATCTTAATGCCATTTTCTCCAAAATGTCACTAGGTCCGCATTTTGCGAAGAGGTCAAAGTGTAAAACAGAAAGTTTATGAAGCAAATCCGCAGATGAAGAGACCAAATCTGTAAAATTAATATAGGTCCGCAATAACACCTCCGCAGAGGTGTTGAAACTAATTTACAGTTTTGGTTCCTGTATTTACGGACTTGATTCATAAACTTCTGTTTTTACATTTCACAAAGTCTAATGACCTTTTCTTTCGTTTCAATCAAATTCTCATTTTAGAAGAGAAATGACGAACAGATAAACCAACATCTGAAAATGACTATTTTAGTTAATCTATACTATATTATAAAATATTTAATAAAAACTCTTAAAAATCATTTTTTTTAAGCATGAAGTATTGTTTATTGATGCATATTACTTAAAATTTAAGATTACAAGTAAATTGTGCGCAAGTACAACTTGTTAAAGATTTATGTTTGAATTCGTGTAACTAATTGCAAATAAACATAATCAAATATAGGTAAACATCTCATTTTAAATATTAAAAATATAAAATATAATTAGGATAATCATTAAGTTATAATAAAATACTTAATTATTATTTTTGTAAAAAATTATATTATTAAACCAAAAATAAAAAACAAATTAAAGAAATATATAAAAATTGATAAATTTTAAATAGTTGGTTTGATATTAATATCAATAACTTTTAAAAAAAATTATGATATATTTTTATATTTATATTTTATTCAAATTTAAAAATATTATCGATCTCCCTAAATCACATAAAACTGTATTATAACATCGACTAAGACAAAAGAAAAACGAAACATTAAAATTAAATTGTATTTCGCTGTATTGTACACGTATCCTTCTGGTCTTCTTGAACGGAGACAACCAAGTACGGATAAACTATGGTCGACTATACGACGTTCCGTTAGCTGTACCGTTAGACGTTTCTCCAAATGGGCGACGTTGGAATTAACGGAAACAAAGCCACACGTGAAATATGTTGACGGCGGGTGACCAATGTGACTGGTCGGGGACACGTGTGGCAATGCAGATAGAATGTTTATTTTGACTGGGCTTTTGCACGTGTGAGGTATATCTGCCATGCTTTTTCTTGTCGGGCCTCAGGCCCATTCCGGGCCTGCCGCATAATATTCTATTTATTATTAAATCCCTACAATTATTATTATTATTATTATTATTATTATTATTATTATTATTATTATTATTATTATTACTACTACTATGTATATACACATATATAATTCTTTTTAAAAATTACCTGCTCCTTGGGAGGTACCAAATAAATGACTACTTGAATCGGGATTTTGAGCATAAATATTCCACTGACCTGTAATTGTATACATCAAATCAGATATATATTAAACTAGATTAACGGTTGAAATTAATTTATGTATCTAAAGGGCATCTCCAGCCCACCACTAAAGACATCTTCAACCCAACTATTAAAAATGATGGGTCGTTTAAACACTAAAAATACTCGACTCCAATTACACAGTAAAAAATATTCTTAATATTAAAATTATGTGTGTGTGTGCATAAATATATATTATTTTGTTAATGAATTAAACTATTAGGGGCTGTTTACTAAATGTTTACTCGGTAAGTACTTAATGGGAAATTTTCCTTACCAAATAAACAAGGCAAGGGGCAAGAATCTTACCCGGTAAGAGCTTACCAGGTAAATTGTTGCATAATATACGTTTTTGATGTACTACAATCTTACCCCAAAAAATAAATTATAGTGTTGACTCTTAATGGTAAGCGCTTACCCGAGTAAGCATTTAGTTAAACGGCCCATTAAT